ACAAACACATTAAGTATTATATTAGAACTAGTCATTTGAACCTAGACACTTCCAACTCCAGGCAACTATGCTCTTAGCCACAGTTGTAGTGAGTTGAGGTGTGGAAGAGAATGGTGAACATTTGGCAGAATGCAACAGAGAGACTGTCATGGAGATGTGAAAGAATTGTCTGGGGATGCCTGAGTGGCTCCATTAAGCATCTGACTCTTGATTTCAGCTCAGGTCATGATCTTGGGGTTTGTGAGCTCAAGCCCCACATCAGGCTCAATGACTGACGGTGTGGAGCCTGCTTGGGATTTTCTCTCTCCCTCTCCCTGCCCCTCCCTCACTCGTGCTCTCTATCTCTTTCTCTCTCTCGAAATAAATTTAAATTTTTTTTAAACTTTATTAAAAAAATAAAAAGAATTGTCTGTTGGCACTAAGTGCAGCAATAGCTGGAGACCAGAAATCTGTGCTGTCACACATCTGCACACCTGGTTTCAGTATTTCTAGCAGCAGTTAGCAGCCCAAGTGAATAATCATATTGGGTTAAGAATTCTTTCATTAGAAACTGGGTAGATAAGAATATTAAGGCATAGGGGCTCCTGGGTGGCTTAGTCGGTTAAGCGTCCGACTTTCGCTTAGGTCATGATCTCGCGGATCGTGGGTTCAAGCCCCGCGTTGGGCTCTGTGCTGACTGCCAGCTCAGAGCCTGGAGCCTGTTTCAGTCTGTGACTCCCTCTCTCTCTGACCCTCCCCTGCTCACGCACTCTCTCTCTCTCTCTCCTAGAAATAAATAAAACGTTAAAAAAAAAAAAAAGAATATTAAGGCATAGCCTAGCAAAAATTCCTAAATTCTAAGGATAAAAAGAAGCCTCTGTAAGATTCCTAAATAGAAGTATCGTAAAATGGAAAAAAAGAATCAGACTAGCACTGGACTTTTGTAAAACTGGAAGGTAGAAGACGGTAGAATAGTATCTACAGATACTGAGTGGAAGGGGACTGCAACCAAGAGTTCTAAACCTGTCAAAGAAAGTGAAATATATTTGGTAATAAAGATTAGAGTATATCATTCACCTGAGAAAAATACTCAAAAGGAGAGAAAATAACCAAAGGATGAGAAAAGACTTCAAGATAATAGAAAGTAAGTGAACAATTAGATCTAAAACAATAAGGAGAGACTCAGTGAATGTGTAATATAAGTACAAAATAAGGTTTTTTAAAATAGAAAATATATAATACCAGGTAATTTTAATAAGATCACAGAACAAACATAATAAAGTATTTCAGCAAGGTTTAGGACTGATGAGGAGGAGGGAGGGATGCCGGAGTGCAGCTCCAGCCAGTCCAGGGGTCCCTGAAGGATGGGTGATGTCAGCAAGAGAGAGTGAGAGAGCCCTGAGATTCTTTCTGATCACCAGGCAGGAATCTCTGTCCTGTCGGTTTCGGTGTCTTTATTTATAGGTCAAACAATAATATGGCATCACAAAATGGAATTTTTATAATGGATAATTCTCTGTGATAAGATGCTTTGGAAAGTGTACAGAAACAGGTTTTACGGAAGTATTCTTGCAGAACTGCCCCAATTATAGTGAGGTTGAGTAACTAAGAAAATAACGGGGTGTTCTTGGTGAAAAACAGGATAACATACACATTTTAATAACGCTAAGATTAAGTCATAGGTTAAGTTATAGATACTCTTACCCATCCTCAATCACAGCTGCCAGTGTAAGGGAAGGTGTTTGTGGAATGTAGGCCTTAGGGAAGGGACTGCTATACATCACCAGTTAGCAAAGGTATATGTAGTAACATATGTTCTGCCCTTATCTGTTTCTTCTAAGTTAGGCTCTTTGTCTCTGGGCAAGGCTTAAGTGTCCAGTTATATTCCTTATGTCACTGGAGAGGCAACCATACCTTTAAAGAGTTTAGCTCGTTTCCAATACATACAGTAGCCTCTTCAAGTGCATTTACCTTTGTGTCTAGTTTTTTGTCTATGATTTCTTGAATAGGGTATGAGAAACATTTTTGGTTAGTTGATTTACATGTTGAGCTGTATGAACCTCTTGGACTAACGCAACAATAGAAACAGAATTGTACACATAAAGGTCAATCTTCTATGAGTAAGGGTCATTAGCCTGTTCATAGCTCAAGGGAAGTATCGAGGAAAATAGGACCTGTCGGAAACATGGTGTCTGCTCCCATAATCATTAAAGAAGTTTCCACAATAAATTCCTTCACAAGGTGCAATCATCATACCAGGGCCAGAATAAGGGGACAAGTCACTCCTGATACCAATCAACAATGGGTCAGTTTTCAAGCAGAAATAATTGAGTGGCGGCGGATATCGGTTATCATCTGATGGCAAGAGCCTTGCAAACTTGCCTTAACCTCACAAGGAGTTTTTTCAACTAGTGAGTTCAGAAATGGCTCCCAACAGAAGGAAGTGAAATGATTTTTAAAATCTTGTTGATGTCAACTATTAGTAGAGAAATAGAACATTTTTATGGGAGAGAGAGCCTTTTAAGTTTCTATCTTATGTAACTAAGCACTACAAAAAAAGAACATTTTAAAATAATAAATATCCCATCATCTAAGGTAGGTAACAGTCATAAACCTAAATACATCAAGCAGCATAGCAACTGAAATGTAAAACAAGAACTATTAGAAACGCAAATAGAATTTGAAATACAATATAGTAAAAGAGAGAGGTCAGTATATTTGTCTCAATGGGATGAAGATTTAGAAAAAATGATGTAAGAATCTAAAGGGACTGACTCAGTATACTTACATGTAAATGTGTACTCATCCCTCAGAGAATAATTTTTTTTCTGTATATCCATGGAACATTAACAAAAATCAAATGTGGTCTGAAAACCTTAACAAATTAACCTTAACAAATTTTGAAAAAATAAAATGGATTTTATAGACTGCTGTAAAATCTCTGTTCACAAACCAATAAAATTAGGTATATATAATGGTAAATAACTAAACCTTAGGTAATTTCACACTTAAGAAACATGCTATTTGACGTCTAAGATCAAAGAAGAGATCAAAACATAAAACTGCAAACTATCTAGAGAACAATGAAAAAGTACTCTTTATTCTCAAACTATGTGTAACCTGTACTCAGAGGAAAAGTTAGAGCCTTTTAAATTCTTTCTTAATTAAAGAAGAAATAGGGGGGAAAAAGAACTAAGTAATCATCTTAAATTCAGACAAAAAAATTAATCAAAAGGAACTAGTGAGAAGGAAGTAAGATAATTCTAGGCCAAATCATGGACCTAGAATATCAAAAATGGTTCATAGAACTTTCTAGGCTGATCTCTGTGCAAACTCCAATATCAAGTGTTAGAGATCAGTATGTATGGAAATGGAGGTAGCATATAAATTCTCTGAAGATCGTTTTGGCCATAGTATTTTATCCCCACTCCCCATTATTTATCTACTTTAGATTCCTATCTGGAACTAAGAGTAAGTTAAATCAAGTGGATGGTCAGCTATACAGGGTTCTATTGTAGCATGATCCTAAGGCTGGCAGAGACTGCTTCCTCTAGTTGATACTTCCCTGAGGAGATTTGTGAATCTTTGGAATGCTTAAAAGAAAAATCTCATTTAGAAAAGACAAGACCCCAAAACATAACTAGATTACAGCTTTCTGCATTAATGGGAATTGTAGAAAAGATATATGTAAATATATTGTATTTAATTTTTCTTTTTATTTTTTTCTTTATTCATCATACTTCTATAGATGACCGTCATTGTCAACAGTTCTTAATCTCTGAAGCTTAATAAAATAGGCTTGTTGCAATCTTAAAGTAGAACCTACTCCTGAAGCCAAGAACACACTGTTTGCACTGTATGTTGGCTAACTTGACAAGAAATTATATTTTTAAAAAATCATAAAATAAAATATTCATAAGCTATAAAGAAAAGAAGTTGCATCATTTAATATTATAAATATGGGTAATCTTTATATTCCAATTGGTATTTACTGTATATTTTAGGTTTTCTGTCCCTTTGTCTCTCATCACTGTCACTGACTGATCATTAAGGAGAAACAGCTGCTGTTTATTTCTGACTCAGTTTGAATTAATAGCAATAGTACATTTGAATTGCTTGACTTATGGAGGGGCTGGAGGAAGGAAGTAGGAGGAATGAGAGCGTGTAATTGTTTTTTTGGAAATGTAAAACCAGACTATGATAAGAGAATTGACAATATCTTCCTTAAGGATTTGCTACTAATTAGGTGAGAGAGCTGTATGCTCATGTGTGTTTTCTTTATAGAAGTGCAACTTTTTTTAGCATCATGTCTGACAAAATATGGGAAGAGTGAAGAGGAGAACTTAAACACGAGAAAACATCTCCTAAAACATTTTTGCAGTGTCTACTGTATTCAGTTGATTTTGTTTTGTTATTCTATTGGACCTGGAAAAACTATAGATATAATAATATGATATTAATAATCAAATTTGCTTTAAAGTCTTATACTAGTTGGGATTCTCTGTTGTTATTTTGGATGGAAGCCATACAGAAAACCTATATAGATTCTATTGTGTATAATTCGTGCCCAAAGATAAAATTACATCTACATATGACCCTTTCCTTTTTATATCTATAATTGTATCCATTTTTCAAATTTATTATAATAGGGTTAAGCCTTCTCCTGATTATTAAACTGATTTTCCTCTTTTTTTTCAAAGAACAGTTGAAGGAATCATTTTATTTCACATTTCATTTTTCTTTTGATAATATTAGACTCAAAAGAAAGTAGCAAGAGAATGTAGTATCTTTAGAGCTAAGAACACAGTGGCAAAGTTTTCACCATCAGTAAAATTCTGTTGATGGGTACCTGAAGTAGCAGAGTTGTTTTTACACTATTTCACTTTTTTCATGCATTCATGGATTTTCTAATGTGTTTTTCTTTTAGTTTTAGGGGTTTTTTTTCTTATCATAAAAAGAGAAGATGAAATCTGAACATGATCTTGTCTTAGCTTTCTTTGTATCCATCTATCCATCTGTAGGATGAATACAAACCAGAAAAGGCCCTGTCTGAAGAGGATTTGAAAAACGCCGTGAGTGTGCATCATGCACTGGCATCCAAGGCCATAGACTACGAGAAGAAGCCGAATGTACTTAAACTTAAAACAGCCGACTGGAGGGTCTTGCTTTTTCAAGCTCAGTATGTTTCACTGGTTTGATTTGGTTTGGCTTTTTAGTTTGTGTAACACCACCTTATACCAACAAATGGAATCAGGATCTTCGGGGGAAATTTTTCAAGTTGGATTCAAAGTCATTAACTGATTACACTAGAGGGACAAGTGCCTAAGAAAACTAGAATCAGAAATAGAAACCTAAGTTCAATTTTTTTTGTTGCTACAAGGTAGCCCTGTGACTTTTAGTCAGCCACAAACCATCTATAGAAGTTAATGTTTTTACGAATAAAATACAAGGGGTGTACAATATAAGTTTTATCACACAAAGAGTAAAATAGACCTGGATTCAAATCACCACTTCCTAGCTCTTTGTCCAGGCATATAATTTAACCTCTTTGAATCTTAGCTTGTTATTAGTACAGATGATAATATTTATCTCATAAGGTTCTTATGAGAAGTAAATGAGATCAAGCATATAAAGTACTTCATACAGTGCCTGGTACATAGAAACTGTTCAATAAGTATAGATTTCCATTTTGTTCCCTCTCTCTGTCTCTTCTCTCTCCTCCTGAGCTCTTATTGTCTCTGATTAAACTAGAGGAAAAAGATAAAATTATATCGTGAGCAAGGAAATGGGATGGATTGCCCGTTCAATGAGGGGTCCATGATAACTTTCACATTAGAAATGGAGCATTTCACACAGAGAATTCCAGATTTGTGAAGTGAGAATCTTTGGATTTTCGGAACCGAGCCTCTACAAAAGGAATTTTTATAGGAGCACACATAGCATCAGTGTCTATGACAGTGTTAATTCTTCATGGCATGCTTTGCACAGCCTGAGTTTGGCTTCAGAACCACTCTCAACACTACCAATTGACTGCATTTGGCACTGGAATTAAAATTTGACATCAAGATAGTGTACACAAGTATCCACATACTTTGTGATCAAAGCAATGTAAGATCAACAAAAGAGATAAGAACAACAGCAAGTACTCTGGTGATTTGTGAATGTTGAATTTCTGGAGGTATGAAATCGCTGACATCAGGTGAGGAGGAAGTTGTAAGGAAATCCAAGTTACACAGGATTTTTTGTTAGCGTAGGAGTAAGACAGCTTTAATACCACAGAGGGAATCATAGCCAGATGTATAATTACAGCTATTAGTCATCAGAGTCCTTCAAATTATTCTGTTCCCCAACATTTTTTTAATCTAAAATACCAAGTATGATAACTAAGCAGCTCTAATTACTTCAGATACAAGTGATGCAGAAATCAGTGAATTGAATTAACAGCACCAGAGAAATCAGATTAGAGAAACATGGGGTACAAAGAGGAATTGATCCCTTAGTGTGGTCTAAGGTTAGTGTGGTTTCTCAGAATAATTGGTAAAGGAAATCATTATAGATGGGCTGACATTTTGTCTGTCTTAATCTATCGTGGCTCATTCTCCCATTTATTTATGTGAATAAAAATTCACAGATATTTATTAAGTTTTGTCAGTCACTGCTGGTCTCTGCAAATATATGACATACAAGTTAAGAGTATGTTAATGAAATCAGATGATTTCCACATCCTTTCAAGTGGATTTTTAACATCCTTTTGAAAAGTATTTTACATACCATTAATCTCACTTGTGTGAAGTGCACAGATCAATAATTTTTAGAAAATTTACAGAATTATGCCATTTTCACCACAATCCAGTTTTGGAACACTTTCATCACTCCAAAGAGATCCTCCATCCCCAGTTTTGTAGTCCCTCCCCCATTTCACCCCAACCCTAGATACCAGTAATCTCCTCTGTGTCTCTATAGTATTCCCTTTTCTGGATTTTTCATATACATGGAACATATGATGTGAAATGTATCTGGCTTTTTTCACTTACCATAAAGTTTTGGGGGTTCACCATGTTGTAACATGTACCTGCACTTCATGCCTTTATCACTGAGTAGTATTCCACTGTATGGATGTATATTAACATTTTTCTTTTATTCATTCACTAGTTGACAGACATTTGGATTGTTTTCCCTTTTGACTCTTATAAATAATGCTGCTGTGAACATTCACACGTAGATCTTTTTATGCCTATATGTTTTTATTTCTCTTGGGTGTATGCCTAGGGAGTAGAACTGCTGGGTTGTATGATAAATTTATATAGTTAACTTTTCAAGAAACTGTCAAAGCTGCTTTGCAAGTGGTTGTTCCCTTTTCTATTCCTTTTAAATTCTATCAATTTGTTCCTCAGTTGCATTTTAAAATTGAATTATGTGATTGAAAGAGATGAGCTAATTTTTAAATTAATTTTTGACTAAGCCTAATATCAAACAAAGCAGAGACTTAGTATTTATTGTCAAGTGATTTTACTTTTTTCCACTTCTGTATCCTTGAGGGGTAATCACAGCCTTATACTGTAATGATCATAGGTATCAGGGTCTTTAATTACTGTGATAATTTCTGTTGAAAATGTTAACCTCAGTGAAATTTTGTCAAGGATCAGTTGTACCAAGAAATATAAATGACTTTATGGACCATTTTAAATCAGTAATGAAAATGGGCAAGGTGTGATACATTTGGATAGAAAAATACCCTGATGTAAATGTATCTGTTTCTCACAGGAGTCCAGAGGAAATGCAAGGATGGATAAACAAAATTAATTGTGTTGCAGCTGTATTTTCTGCACCACCATTTCCAGCAGCCATTGGATCTCAGAAGAAATTTAGTCGTCCACTTCTGCCTGCCACTACGACAAAATTGTCTCAGGTAAGTCATTTTGATAGTGCTTTTGACTTTGGAAAAAAAGCACTTTGTAAAATAATCTTACTAACCTTTATATTTAGTAATATTCTATATTTTGGCAGCAAGGATAAGACTGCCTTGGAAGATCTATTGTATAAGTGGAGCAAAATGCAGTATGCTGCGTTTTGCACTACATATTGGAAGCTGACACATGGCTGACACACAGGACACATACAATGAATACGTTTCTAAAATTTATATTTACTACTCAGTCTGTAATACAGGCCTACTTTTTTGTTTTTAATTTTTTTAATTGAAGTATAGTTGGTACACAATGTTACATTAGTTTCACATGTACCACATAGCTCTGCTCCCCACAAGCATCACCGCTACACTATTACAGTACCATTGACTGTATGCTCTATGCTGTACTTTTCACCCCCATAACTTATTCATTCCATAACTAGAAACCTATTCCTCCTATCTCCTTCACCCATTTTGCCCATTCTCCACCCCCTTGCCCTCCGAGAACCATTAATTCTCCGTATTTATGGGTCTGTCTGCTTTTTGCTTATTTGTTTATTCATTTGTTTTTTAGATTCCACATATAAGTGAAAGTATATGGTATTTTTTTCTGTCTTGACTCATTTCATGTAGCATTAGACCCTGTATACACCATGGATGTTGCAAATGGCAGGCTTTAGTTTTTTGGTTTTGTTTGTACTGATAGCTCATAGTTTTTAAACGAGTGTTAGACATCCTGGTTTGAAAACAAACTTTTTTATTCATGTACTTATTTTTTCATTTTACTGAGCTTTTACCATATCCCAGGCTATATTTGATGCTGAATATATGAGAATATTCCCAGGGATCCACTATTCACAGTACGTGGGACAGAGACTTCCCTAATTCTCAGGGAGGAGCTAAGTGGACCATGTGGGTTTTTCTAGCTAATCAAGACCATGTATAGTAGAACTGTGGTCCAAATGTAGTCCCACAAGTTTCTTTTCTGTTGTCAGATTGATCTCTCTAAAGATCATATTTTATTGTGTTCCTGTCTTACTTAAAACTCTGTTCTAAGGGCATTGAATTCTGTCCAGTTTTGCCAATTTTAAACCTGTCTGCATTGCCTATATTGCCACTGACTAGTTAAGGATTTTGGAAGCTGCTTTGATGACCAAATTGTGCTTTAGAAATTACTTATGTTGCAACAGGAAGAAAGTATTAGAGGAGGAGACTACTGGAAGCAGAGAGCCGAATTTTAAAGGCAGGGGTAATAATGCAGAGGAAAAATAACTAATTTAGTTATACAAGAGATGGGTAGAAGTGGAAGTATTTGAGAGATCTTGAGAATCTAGAATGGATGGTCCTAGTGGTTCAGTGAAGGCTTTGGCAGCTGGGGATTGTGGGGTCTGAGCTGGCTTTTCTGAACTCATCATCTCGTTTTCATATGTTGAAAATATCCAAATGTTGCAATGCTCAGCGCTCAGAAGCAGACCAAAATGGACACTTGAGAAACAGGGGGGTTTTATTGTTGTCAGTTAAGAAAAAAACAGAGAGAATGTTGTGCCAAGGAAAGGGGATAAAGAGGAAAGAGGTCATGTAAAATTAGTACAAAAAATATCTCCTATGAAGTGGCAGGGAGGTCATATCTCACCCTTGGTGAGAGCAGTTTATGGAGTGATAGGAGAAGCCACTTTGGTCATCTTTGAGGAGGGATTGGAAAGTAGTAAGGAAGTGGAGGAAGGGAATATGTGTATGTCTTGCCATAAGTTTATAAAAAATAGACTAGTAGTAAGAAGAAAGGAGACATGGTTTAATGAAAGATTCTTTTGCTTTTGTAAATTTATAATTATTATTAACATGAATTGGATACTCCCCATGTAAGCATTACTATTAACTAGGTAGTTCATAGACTACTGAAAAATCATTGAGAATAGAAAGGGCCAGGCCAGCTCACTTTACAAGGCAGAATAGCGTTTAATTTTCAAAGACAACAAATATTATAAGAGAATAGGTCATCTTATTGATGACCAGAAAGTAAACAGAAAATTGACAGAATTCTTCATTTACCCAACTAAACTATGAAATCTTAAAGCAAATGCATTCCCCTACTTTAATTGGGGATACTTCACATAAACAGTAAACTACATTATATAAGGTAAGAGGAGAAAAAAAAGTTGAATAACTAGACGCAAGAATGACCTTCAAAAGTTGGGTTTTGTTCTGTCAGTTTTACTAGGGGTTTTCCAGTTGTTATTTTTCAATAGATTGGTCTTTCTCAGTCATTCTTACAAAAGATCCAGGGGAAAGGTGAGTGGAAGTTAAAAAGGAACAGTAGTAAGCATAGAGCAGCATACGAGTTTTAGGTTGTTCTTTCCTTGCTGTAGATTTATGCTTCTGTTTGCTTTCTACTTTGAAAACACACTTCTGTTCTATTTGTGTATGGGCTATATATTAGTAAGTCAATGGCTCATGAAAATGAATGTGTTCATTTATTTGTATATCTCTTACCATGAGACCAAAGCAAGCAAGTAAGCACTTTAATCAAAGTAAAATCTCTTATTTTATACAAATGCCTTACACTGGAACTAAAAATAGAATGCATAAAATTTTTAATTTTTCCTCATTTTGAGCATAAATCCAGAGAACAAAAAAAAAACCCCACACAACACCCCTATTTGTGTAACTGATCAAAATGATGGATTTAAGATTTTAAATAAGGCGATAACCAAAAAGAAATGTGCTCCTATGTCACATAAGATGACCACATCATTTCAGGAATCTAATTTCTTTGAAAAAAAAATTTTTTTTAAAAAAAGATGTTTTCTTCTCCACAGATAAATTACCAAGCTTTCATAAACTTAAATGAAGATTATGTTCTAGAATGTTTTTAAGGTTCTTTCACTAGCTCTGTGTTTTTTGTCCAGGTCATTGTATTTGTTTATTAAAAATGAAAAAGATGTTATGCCTTTGAGAGTAATAGGACAATTTAGAAACAAATATGTAAAACCAAGCATGTGATAAAGAATAGTTTAGAAAAAGGGAGAGAAGAGTTAGTTCATACCCTCCACATCAAATAGAGACTCGTGTGGGGTATCTTTGGAGGAGTCACAATGCACTTTCAGTAAATCCTGGAATACGTGCACCACAAGTTTTCCAGTATCTTCAAGACTAGTCCTCACTTTTAGCCCTGACATTTTGCCCTGGCATTGGCAGCCTTAACACTACTGCATTTTTAGCCCAGATAGTTCTCTGTTGTGGGGACCACCCTTTGAATTTTTGTTTAGCAATATCGCTAGGCTGTAGACCCACTAGATGCCAGTATCATTCCCCTAGTTGTGACAACCAAAATGTCTGCAGATGTTGCCAAATCTCTTGTGGGGTCAAAATCCACCCCACTGCTACTCACTGTTATTGAGAACCACCGCGTGAGCCCAGTCGTTCCTTTCTCCATACGCCCACCACCTGGCTATGACTGCCTTAAATGCCAGAACCACTTAGATAATTTTAGTTTCCAAAATACATGTATAACAATGTGAGTTCCCTACTGGAAAAAAAATTAAATAGAATTAGGAAAAAACTAAACATTCAATTAAAAGATTGGTGCTTTTAGAGACACACTGTTCATGACCAGACACACCTGGTCGCTTGCAAGCTTTCCTTTCATTTATTCTTGTCTTCTATCCAAACCATATTAGCCTTCATTATTAAAACTGATTATTATCAGTACAGTGTAGTTCTCTCTGCATAGCTCTGCTGTGTAGGAGTCATCTTCTTTAGTTGTTTTCATGGCAGTGTTGCTAAAGCACTTTTTTCTTCTTCTTTTGGAGGTGGAGGGACAAGTTTTAATACTTAAGTTTCATTTCTCCTTCTGGTAAAGCTAGTACTCTAAACGTAGGGTTTCATGGTCAGCCCTCTCCAGCCTCTGTTCAAGACCTCCTTTTCTACTCATCAAAGTAGTCATTTTCAGGCTTTAATATGTACAAGAATGATCTGGGGACTTGTTGAAAGTGCACATGTCCCAGCACCCCTACCCCAGGTTGGTGAGATCTGGGTCAGGGTCCCAGGCACATGTATGTTTTAAGACACAGCAGGTATCTAGCCTGCGAGCAGTGCAAATCATACTTAGAGGCGCTGCACTGTACTCCCTGCAATCCCTACCATCCCTTTCACTACTTAGGTGGAGATGTGGAAACTACACTGGGCCCTTGGGCTCTCTCAGCAATAGAAATTGTCAAGAGGCCAAATGGGAATTTTCAGCAAGGTTTTATTGCTGATTATGCTTGAGCACAGAGAGGCAACACAAAGAAGTGTCCTCGGGCTGACACCCCCTCCCGAAGCAAGGTCAGGGAGAGTTTTTAAAAGAAACTTGGGTGGGGAAAGGGTGATGTCAAAGCAAGTAGAGGCAGCGGCTTATTAGCATCTATGCATTAAAAAGTCATGAGTCTTCATACATTGCATGTCTAATTAACATGTTAAATCTCCACCCCCAGGTATAATTTTTAGTATTATAATGAGAGAAAAAGTCAGTGAAAGTTCAGCACTGGGGTACATCTTGGTGCAGACTGGTTTGATCTGGTCTTCACCAGTCATGGTAGTAAGCATGTTCCTTTCAGTAAGCATCCTCCTTCCACATTCCTGCAAGATATGCTACTTAAGAAGCATAGAGTTTTAACTTTTTTGTTTTCTCCTTATGGAGAAGGCAAGGAATGCTAGATTTCTCAGTCAGATTAGGGGACCTGAGTCCAGTTCCTGCTCTATCTCACCTGTACCTCACGAAGTTACCATTTCCTGATATCTAGTTTTGTTTTCTTCTTAGAATTTCAGCCATTCTCCTGTAAAGGTCTGAATCAATGGTCAATGATTATTTGAATCAATAGTCAGTGATTAGTTTGATCACTAAATGTTAACTGTTGAGGGCCAGGCCTTAGAAACAAAGGAAAACCCTATTCTTGTTTCTTACCCCTTATTTTATCCTGTGGTTTGACCATCAGGGCAGTAATGCCCAGGGTCAGATGAGT